GCTCTGGAATGTCGAGCGGGCAACAGTGCAAGGACCGTTTATAATATATTAGTGTGCCTCCCAGACGGTTTGCTAACCGATCGTGGCGGACAATATTGTAATTTGCGATTCTGGGATCGCGTACGCTAGGCTTCAAGAATGTCTCTTGCACTAGGAAAATATCTACATTATAATCGCGAAGGAATTCCGCGATTTCATCCCTTTGACCCTTTATGCCGTTTGCGTTGAAATACGAAACAACCAGAGCCCGAGGTTTTGTTTTACCTGCGGCTGTACTTCCCATTAAGGTGCCTTTATGGGTCTAATTAACGACGCGGCGGAGCGCGGTTTTATTGCGCAGACTATTGATCTTTATGGTTGGCTCGTAAAAGCCCAAAGGGCTTCCACAAGCGTTTTGTGCTGGCTAATTGCCCTAAGACGCTCGTGGCCAGATGTGGCGGCCGCTAATTTAGCGGACAATACGGCGAGTTCCTGTCTATTTATTGTATCCAATAAACTGCAAATGTTCGCTATTTGCGCGAATGGGTCGTCTTTGTTTTCCGCGAAAACTGACGGAATTGGCTGCACCTGCGGCCGCGGCGCCGTTTGAGAGGCGGGCAGCTGTTTCGCGATCGGTCGTGAGGCGACCGGGATTACCGGCGCGGTTACCTGCGCGGCCACCTGGGGTTTCGCCCAGGCGTTTACGACGGGTACGGGCGCGGGAATGAATTTAACGGGCGCGGGTTTAGGCAACGTCGATTTCGCGGGAGATTTCCTCGCGGGAGTTTTCGGGGCCTTAGCGCAGCCTCTGTAGCTAGCCGGATGACCGGTAGTGTGGCAATTTACGCAGTCCGGTGGATCTGCGCAATCTTTCGCCCTCGTGCACTCGGTTGTGCCGTGGTCACCGGTGCATTTGACGCACCTTGGGTGAGCGAAGCAGTTATTGGCCGTGTGGCCAAAATGTTGGCAGTTGTGGCACTGTGCCACAACACCCGATTTACGTGGGGGCTCGATGACTAAGTCACTGAGCCCACAGACCCTCTTGAGGTTGAAAATGGCCTTACCTTCCGGGGTAGGGTCAAGTTCCACCATGACCATGTCCATAGGGACACGGGTGCGAGGGTGCCTGAGACGGCGCACGGCGTGGACAGGGTATCCCTGAGTGCGGATGTCGACCTTAGCCATATCGACATCCGACTCTTTTGGGACGCCCTTTATTACGACCCGAAGTTTGCGCTCTTCGGGTAGAGAGTAGGTGTGGAAACCTACCTTAGCTTCGCGCAAGTATTTAGTTGCGCGACGGAAGTCGTCCGAAGAATTGAGGTATACGCGGATACCCATATGCGTATTCTTGGACCGGGGGGTCTCGGATGTTGTGGCGTTCAAACCACGAACAAACTTGGTGCCACTTTGCCTTATCTTGTATTATAATAGGTGGCGGTGGCTTAATTTTTCGCTCGGAGGCGAAAGTCGGTTCCGACTGGGCAGACGCGGCTGCCTTTTTGGCGGGCGTCGCGGTGGGACGGTTTGACGGGGCGGCCTCGCTTTTGGGGTCGCTGTCGGTGGCGGGGCGTTTCTTGCCCTTTTTCCGCGGTTTGACGACGGTGAAGCCGTCGGCGTTCGCGTTATTAGCGGGGGTCGTTTCGACCTCCATGTCTGAGCCGCCGTCCGATTGTGAGTCGGGAACGACAGCGCAGAAGGGGGCCGAATTGGATTGCGCGGAAGGCGCGTTAAGTTCGATCGCGGCGGCGGAGGTCGACGCGACGGGCGTATTAATTGTCGCAGAGGGCGACACAATAACTGGTGCGGAGGGCACCGGAGATGGCGGCGAGACGGCAGCCGGTGAAGCCGGACTGTCGCTGGAGAATTCGACGACAAGGCGTCGTTCCCTCGCGAAACTTAAATATTTAGCCCATACATCGGGGCATTCCTGTCGAAGGAACTCCTCTAGGAGGGAACTCATGTCGACGCTTGAGCCTTTGGGGCTTGCGCCCCGCCGGCGTGTGTTTTTCTAAATAGGCCTCCCCACCTTGCGGCAGGGAGGTGTGTGCCTAAAATTAACCTTTAATCGCCTGCGCTTTAGGTGCGCTAGGGTGAGTACCTAGCTGTCGCCTAATGCAACAAGCACACAGATAAAAATTACAATGCCGCCTCTGAGACGAGAAATGTGTGTAGAATTCTACTTACGGACAGGAACCTGCCTACGAGCACAACACTACACTAACACTATCCGCTCGGAAGTCGGGCAAAGTTTCTTCTTTCTTCTGTAACGTTTCTTCTATCTTCTATAATTTTTCTTCACTCTTCTTGCTTGTAAACTTCCCTAACCGTAGACCGCGAAACACGACAACGATGAGGCAAGCAGTGCACACCGAGATATAAAAGAAATAATATATGTAGCAACAACGGTTGCAAAATGGCTTCCGGGTCGGTTGGCATGGGCCCTCCGGCTCAGATTAACGTCCGTTCCGTGTGGAGGATGACCTATTTACCTTGCGTGTGCGTTGTGTTGGTTGGTTGGTTGTTAGCGCGCTGCGCAGGTGATGTTTGTGACCGGTCGCGTTTGATGCCAGATTATTATTTCGCTGCGACTATCATATTTTTACGGTGGTAGGGCCACGCAGCAGCCTCGGCTGTTGCACGAATGGGCAGGCTCGTCGGGGTAAGTACCACGACCTCACAGAAGACCAGCGTAAAGTGGAAGTATGACAAATACTTTCGCGTTTCGTCTGGTGTGTGAGGTAGCTGGAGCCCAATTTTCAAAAGGTTGTCAACGCATCTGTAACCCTCGGGTGTAGCAGATATCCATGGGCGGCGGTATTCACTTACTATCAGGTGAACCGTCTGCTCGTTTGGCAATTTTTCACGTAAAAAAAAAATAAGATGTATAGAATGTTTTGGGCCTGTCGATGAACCACCACCTTCCATGGCCCCACCAGTTCCAGACTTCCTTCAAGTTCTTTAGTTTACTCCTAACCCCTTTCGCTCGAAGACGAATCTATAATGCTAAAATATTTAAACCTACAAAACTTAAGTCCGCTTTCAAAATAGGACAGCTAAGATGTTTAAAAAATTTTAATGAGCGGAAACAAAAATGTTATTTAAACTTAAAATAAAAGGAAAGCAAACGATTTATAAATCATCTAGTATAACGCTCAATACTCCGATATAGAGCACAGGTATAATAAAAATTTTGTAGTAAACAAATTGTATTCGTGCAACAGAACAGATTGTATATGGTGTCGCAACGCTACTACCAGCCGAGTACATCCTAGTCAGCGGAATTCGAAACCTATGCTGTTTTGAAGAAATTGAACCCTTTTTGTGTTTTTTCCAAGCAAGCGCTGTAAGATGCAATGCTGCTAAACACAACATGCTTCAATACGTCTATCGTCGGTCAACACTCCATCACAAAGCCAGTGGATGCGGCCACAGCAGACAGACACCTCGAACCTCCATCAACCAGAACCACAAGATGTAGTGATCACCCACACAACTGCCACAAAACGCATTAGTTACTGCATATAGCCGCACGCACTAATGTGACTATCGCGTAGGCGGTACACCAATATAACAGAGAACCTTAACACAGACAAAAGGCTTCTGCATATTTTATAGAATAAAATTTTCAAATCTTAATAAGCGGTATATCAAGTTTATCAATTAGCGTATTACAGAGGCATCCACAAGTTCCATTAAAATGGCAAAGGTGCTATGAAAATAGTAGAAAATAAGTCATTATTTAAATGTATACTTTTCGATATATGATATTTGATTAGGACCTAATATTATTTTATTGTACAATATAAAAACGAACGTAGATAGATGTCAAGATTTTCACGCCATGGGGTCATAGGGGCTTAGTTTAGTTGGCAAAGCGTCTGGGCGAAAAAAAAAAAAACGATATTCGAAATTGTTTTGTATGCTGGAAAGAATATAACAATGAATGCGCCAAGCGTTGCTTCAAATGCTTAAAAACAATGCAGATAAAAGACGTTAAGATTTTCGTCGTTGTGGCAATCAGTCGTTTAGCTTAGGGGCTGAAGCGTCAGGCCGCGAATGCCGAAGACGTGGGTTCGATTCCCACAGCAGCGACAATATTTTCGCACTTTTTCTACAAATTTTAATGTTTAATCTTAAGTGCAGAGATTAGTACTATAAAAAAACTTTAAATTTCTAAATTAAACTTAAAAAAAAATAAGAGTAATGGCGACATCTCTCGTTAGAACTTTGTAATTCACTCACATTGAAATTTATTTCATCTTTAGAGCAGAGACTAGCATGAAAAATAAAAATTAACTCGTTACCTAATAAAGTGTTATATTCTGTAAAGGATGCACACACACAAGCTGGCGCCAAGCATTGCTAAAAATACATTAGAACGAACGTAAACAGACGTCAAGATATTTGCATTCGATTATCGGCCGATTAGCTTAGTTGATAAAGCATTTGGGTGCGAATCTAGAAAACACAGATTTGAATCCCGCAGCAGTGAAAGTTTTTGTTCATTTATTTACAAACATGTGCAATTAAAAATAAAATAATTATATGTTTAATTTTTTGTTTTTGTTTCAGTTTTATATCAGTTCCCGACGTTTCGAACATTTTATAGCGTCCATGGTCACGAACTGAAACCGAAATCCGAATATCAAAAACCAAAGCCAAGCACTACTTTTCGAACGCAGTCATTTTTAATCATTAGTGACATTTTCACAGTTGTCAATTGTCATTACCTATTGGATTTCGTATATGTTGTGAAATTGATTGTAGGGTGTTTTCATCTTGAATTTATTGTAATACTAACATAAACTGTTTCGATTAACGAGTTCATTTGGCCTTTTATTTTATTCAACATGAGGCTAGTTGACGCAACGAAAATTATGGAAATTCAAAAAAACCCTTCGAATATAAGAAATATTTGTATACTGGCACATGTGGATCATGGGAAGACTACGTTAGCAGATTCTTTAATATCTAGCAACGGAATTATTTCACCGAGGATGTCAGGAAAACTCCGGTACATGGACAGTAGACCTGATGAACAGCAGAGAGGTATCACCATGAAGAGCAGTAGTATTGCTCTATACCATGCTTTAGAAGGAAAAGAATATCTTGTTAATCTCATAGATTCCCCTGGACATATTGATTTTTCTGGAGAAGTATCCACAGCAGTACGATTATGTGATGGAGCTATTGTTGTGGTAAGTAATATTTTTTAATTCTTCGAAATCACATTATAAATAGCTAAAAAATATATTGCATACACATTCATAACAAAAGTTGTATCAGATGAATATATTTAAATAGTGCGAAAATATAATTTGGCGACTGAGTATAAAATTTGTTAGTTTTTTTGATGACATATTATTCAATAAAGATCTTTAAAGTGTATATTTACAGTGCAAAATTCAATGGTTGATAGTGTTAGTAGTCTTGCCATTTGTACCAGTGGAATAGAATAGTATGTTCGTCTTTTATATATTTTTTTATATATTTTTACACCCTGCGATTATAAAAAAATTGCTAAGTTAAAAATACACTTCATTATTAAAGTAAGGCAGAATCTTCTTATAAATCTATCTAATCTTCAGTGCTAAGTATCAGTATAGTAAGTCTTGGTAAAATTTTGTAATTCAAAATTATAAATTTTGAATGGTCTTATAAGGTCTTAAAGATGATTCAGTATCATGCTTAGTGTTATATTATTCCTGTTTTCCGCTAGGTAGGTCTAGAAGGTAGCATAAATTCTTGGCCAGCCCTTTCATCTTCCTTATTTTACATGATAAAAAATCAATGGATTTAATTACTTTTATAGATGGATGTTAATTTGAGCTATTAATTTTGTAAAACCTATTATTTGGTGTATGTATGTGTAAGCAAAACTTTAATAACAGTCTCTTATTTTCTGCGGGTGTCCAATATTGGATGATTACTGTCACATCTACAACACCTGCGGCATGAGATGCTGACTCTTAAAATTGTGTGCTGCTGTAAAGTGACTCACCGGACCAAATTGCAAAAATATTGTTCCTTCTAAACATGGCTGCCTATTTGTGTAATATCAGAGGCTGTTGTGTGGTCCTATCATAGTGCAAAAATTATCTCAGATAAAGTTTCCAATATAAATGTAGGTCTAACTTTATTGTTCCCTTACCAATTAAAGATCACTTGGTCACCATCAGATAGATACAAAAATAGACCAAATAAAAAATTTTAGAGCCAATTTATTAACTTGTAACATTGTATTTCTTAGGTGGACGTTGTTGAAGGAGTTTGTCCTCAAACAAGACTTGCCCTTAAACAAGCATATTCAGAAAACCTTAAGGCGGTGCTAGTTCTGAACAAAATTGACAGACTCATTTTAGAAATGCAAATGAATGCTTTAGATGCATATATACATATCAACCAAGTGCTTGAACAGGTCAATGCTGTTATGGGAGAATTGTTTGCATCTGATATATTGAAAACTGAGGAAACTCAAATTGACAAACAGGTATCAAAGTTTTAAGAATTATTAATAAGATTTTTTCTTATTTATTGTATGTAATCTTTACAAATTATTAAATAAAACCATTTTTTTGGATTTCATATAATTATGTTAAACTTTATTATTTCATTTATATGTATATAATTATCATCACATGCTCAGCAGTGAAGGAAAAAATCGAGAGGAAACCTACATATTTTCAAAGTAATAATAAATAATATTTGCAGATATGTAAAGTCTGCTAATCCGCAGTGTGGCCGCGTGGTTGACTATGCCCTGATACCCTCTGTACAAAAGAGGCCTTTGCCCATCAGTGCGACATGTATAGGCTGATACTTTACTTTTACTATGTATACAGCATGTCTTTACAATCGCGCCAAAAAATGAACACACATATAGAGGATAACTTTTTAAAATTGTATTAAACATTTACATTCTTTAAACATCAATATTTACTGAGTTATTAAATTTTTCAAAACAAACAATTTTAGAACACCCTTACGTATAAAACTGTAACGTAAAGTTCATTTGTAAAGGTCACAAAGTATATGAATGGGTTGAATGAATTTAAAAGAGACAAAACATACTGTTAGAAGGACAGGCTAGTAATGCGACACTGGCAACGAATTGAAAAGTCTCTGAATGTATGAATCAGTCGGTTGTAGTTGTATAGAATGTTACAAATTTTGTTTCTTTTTTACTTAATTAGTTTGTTTGAAAAAAAAAATATATTATGGATTTTTTTAAAGTTAATATTATTTTATGATTATGGGCAAGTAGCGTTAGTCGTGTGTTCATTTATTGTCGCGATGGTAACGACACGCTGTATAATCTCCCTTCTTGGGATCTTACTGAACTCAAAGCAAATAAATATGAAACAAAATCTTGCTTTTATACAGGGAGATTTTATAAGAAGTGCCCAAATTTACACAGGACGTTCAGACTGTAGTATAATTGTTTATTGAAACAAAAAAAGAAAGTTTTTTTCCAAAAAAAATGCCAATCTATTCCCTAAAAAACAGAACGTGTTGACAATGCGGTATTCATTCATAAATACCTAAATTGTACTGTGCACGAACTTGTGTGCGTGTAAGTTATGAATGATCGCGCGTAAAATAAATGAATTGCGTATAAATCACGCACTTTTTGAGATAAGTTCAAATGAACGCGTGATTTTAAATATAATTTTTTATATAACATTATTTATGTCATAAAATTCAAATAGTTTTATAATTTTAGTCTAATGGAATGAATACATAACTTATATCACTATTGTCTAAATTAGTTTATTATGCTTATTTTCACAGCATAATGTCTTATGGTGTCTTACTTTGGGGATTCGCATCCGGTTTAGACACAATATTTGTATAACAAAAGTAGGCTATACGGGCTGTCTATGGCTTGGGTTCACATGAGACACTACGGCATATATTTAAGCAAATAAACGTTTTAACGCTCCCGTCGCTTTACATACTTGAGAACATCATGTATGTACGTAATAATATCCACCTATTTACTAAAAAGCAATCCACATCGCGTCGGGCCCGTGGTGACACTCTGGAAGTAACGAGGTTTAGATTGGTTAAAACCAGGAAGTCGTTTCTAGGTAGATGCATCAACTTTTATAATAAAATAGGTGACATCCACAAACAACAAAGTATAAACAATTTCAAACAATTTGTAAAAGCTACCTTAATGGCAAGGGCCTACTATAATGTCCAAGAATACATTGAGGACAACGATGTGTGGAAATTACTTTTGCTCCGTACTTGCAAAACCCCTGGCTGCTGCTGATTTTATAACTAAAAAGTTTGTATAATTGCATCACAAAAAAAAATAACAAAAAGAACAAGACCGCAGAGTTTCTTGCCGGTTCTTCTCTGTGCAGGTTTAGTTTAGTGAACCGGTGGTAGATTTTTATTGACGTTCAAGAAGAGCTTAAGTTAAGCCTATATTGAATAAAGATACTTTGACTTTGTCTCTTCTGTTTCTTTTAGCAGCAAAAACAGAACATTGCAGGACCTGTACCTAATGAAGATAATAATTATTATGATTGGACATCGGCTTTAGAAGATGCAGATGATTCTAGACTATATTTCTCACCCGAACAAGGGAATGTTGTTTTCGCCAGCGCTTTTGACGGATGGGGTTTTACAATAGAAACATTCGCCAAATTATTTTCTGAAAAACTTGGTAAGCTAAATCTCCTTCAAAGAACACTATAACATATGTAATGTAGTTTCCATATGAGGTCATAATTAGATAATATTTATATATTTAAATATGACTTTTAATGTGTATGACGCATAGAAATCGCGTGGCAGAATATGGTCTCATACCACCAGTGTGGTAGGGACATTTGTTTAGGATATACATATTGTATAGTAAATATAAGGGAATGTGACGCAAAGTAATATTTACGCCCAGCTGGTTCTATAGTTAGGGCTATGGCACCGAGAATCGTGAGTTCAATTCCCAAAAGGAAAATATCAATCAAACAAAAACAATTGTATCTATCTTTTTTCCTTTCTGTAATCCTTTAATTCACAGTTCTGACCTTGGTCGCTATTAAATATTATATAAAAACCACAAGAGAATAATGCATCTGTACGTTTTAAATGTCTGTAACTGTACAATACGTATCATAATAATGAATAAATAGCATAAAAATTAATCTTATAATGGTTCTACGGATTTAAAAGTGTTAATTTTTTTTTATCAAAATTCCCGATATTTTGAACTCCAGTATCCAATGAAACTGGACTGTCACAGATACTGTAGAGTTCGAAACACCGAGAACCTTAATCATTGCTATAACATAGTTCAGTTACCGAAAGTAGATTCTGTTATCATAAAAATAATTTTAGGCGTAAAAGAAGAAATTCTGAAGAAAGTCCTTTGGGGTGACTTCTACCTTAATCCGAAAACAAAGCGTTTCATGAAGGGAGCCCAGGAGAAGGCAAAGAAGCCGTTGTTCGTGCAAGTCATCTTCGACAACCTGTGGAACGTTTACGAAACGATCGTGTTCAGAAACGAAAGGGACAAGGTGGCGATGATATCCGCGAAGCTCGGAATTCGCATGACGGCGCGCGATCTGAGGCACACCAACGGCAGGATACAGCTGCAGTCCCTGATGATGCAGTGGCTGCCGCTGGCGCACGTGGTGCTGGACATGGTGTGCAAGGAGCTGCCCTCGCCGAAGGAGATACCGCCCGGGAAGGTGGAGAAGCTGCTGTGCCCGCGGATCCGCGACTTCGACTCGTACCACCCGGAGACGAAGCGGCTCAAGGACGACTTCCTGGCGTGCGACAGCGGCGACGACAGGCCGCTGATAGTCTTCGTGTCGAAGATGATGAGCGTCGAGAAGAGCCTCCTACCGGCGAACAGGCCCAGGCCCCTGACGCAGGAGGAGATGGCGCAGAGGAGGGAGCGCGCCAGGCAGCTGCGCGAGGAAGTGAAGAGGCAGCTCGTGCAACTGGACAGTTCGTTCGCGAACGAAGTCGTCACCGACGACTACGAGGGCATCGACCCGCGTCTACTGGACCCCAGTCTATGCGAGCCGGCGTTCATCGCCTTCGCGAGGGTCTTCAGCGGCAGGGTGAGGAGGGGCGACAAGGTGTACGTCCTCAGTCCGAAACACGACCCGGTCAGGGCGCTCGACACGCCGCACCTGCAGATCGATCCCAACAAGAAGTTGAAGGACCTACGAAGCGACGAACACATAACTGTCGCCGAGTGGGTATTGTTTATCTTCGCTTTTGCCCGGTTCCTATATTCAAAGAACGGCCGTTAGTTACTTTACTAAGTAAAGTTTACTTCGTAAGTTTCATAACGACTCGTTGTAACGATTTAATGACTATGTAACTAACGGCCGTTCGTTGAATATAGGAAGCGGGCATTTGTCAACTTTTGACCTCGTTCGTATCTTACGGTCTGACTTTTTGTTAACAGGATCGATAAGTTATACATTCTAATGGGACGAGAGCTGGAGGAAATCGAGGAGGCTGTCGCGGGAAATATAATAGGTAAGTCAAAATTATTTATGCACTTTAGATATTCAAAAAATTTTCTACATTTTATAATGTTCATTAAAATAAAGTTAAGTTGCACTGCAAGAAATTTATTTGTACACACAATTTCGTTTATACAGTTTAATAACGTTCGAATTAACTCAAGTAAATACACATTGTATATTTACTGTGAGTATGAGTCTAATATACCACTTTCATCCGCATATAATTTTGTGTATTTTTTGAGTCGATTGGCGTATTTTACCATCATACCCATCTTGCGCCTGAGGGTGTATAGGGTTTCGCTCGCCACCACTAGAACAGTATTGTGTAATATACATAGTTTTTTTTAGTGTCTGCTTAGCTTAGATAACGCTCTGTAAAATAATGTCGTGAAGTTTTTATTTATCATAATAAATTATCATGTATCAGTTTACACACATACTGTTATTTTGTATTATAAACAATCCATTTTTACGGATGTTAATCTATATTTACTTCATACAGAAGCCACACGTTTTTTTATTATTTATTCACTGCAAATATGTTATACCGGAAAATTGTAATATATAAAATAAAAATTATGATTTTTTTTTTCTATTTCGTAAGTGTACCTCACTTCATAATTTTCATAATTAGGTACTACTGTGGAAGTTGCATATGATGTCGTTCATTTGATAGTAGTACGCGTAGTAGTGTTTGGGTATTGACATCAAAATATTAACATTAAAATGATTGACATCAGTTTTATAATTCTTCTGAAACAATATGATCTTCTTTATCGGACCTATCTCATTATTTTCTCAAAATATTTAATGCTTTAGATTATCAGTCTTTACTTTGTGGTTCACAATGAAGAGGTCGGTTTGTTCATCATCAATAGACCTGCGTTTAAATTGTCAGATTTGATTTAAATTAATTAAAGGTTGCCTGGAAGAAATTGCTTTAAGTAATAAGGCCGCCCATTGTACAACCCTTACATAATTGTTATTTTTAATGTATTCTTTATTACCATGGTGTGTGCAATAAAGAAAATTCATTCATTCATTCAGTATTTAAAAACCGTCAGGTTTGTGATGAAACGGACGCGGCGATACTGTGTCGGAATTATTTAGATAACAAATGGGCCCAAATTACTGTCCGATCACAAATTATGTCTTTTGTCGTAGGCATAGGCGGCCTCGAAGAGCACATTTTGAAAACGGCAACACTGAGCAGCACTATATCTTGCCCTGCTTTTAGCGAAATTCAATACGCTGCTGTTCCGATATTGAGGGTTGCCATAGAACCCTATTATCCCGCGCAACTGCCGCAACTCGTCAAAGGTACGTTTGATTTATGTAACTATTGTTTGTATAGTAGACCATATAATGTTAACCGCTTAAGGTTGATTATCGTGTATTCGTCACAATAGTTTTGTGAACAACAAAGGGTATAATATAAATAAAATTGAAGTTTTTGCTCTGTGATTCGAAATTAAAAATATTTTCTTAATCCCAGTCTAGTTGGAGTCTTAACGATAGCCGTACACATATATTTTTCTAATTTATTTATGCGTCAGTTTGCGTCTTTGTTTGTTCGAGTTTAACTTTGAAACGGCGGGACTGTTTCTGATGAGATTATGGCAGATAGAGAAGTTAATTTATCAAGTTAATGTAACCGAATATAGATAATAATGAAATTAAATAATTTTTTACATTAATAAAAAGCCTTAGCTTAGTCATATAGTCTTTTGATTTATTGGAAGTTCTTTTCTACGATTAGAGTGAAGTTACTATCAACAATTGTGCAAGATCTTAGTTGATGATACCAAACCTACTGTGATATGAAAGCTACTAATATATTACTGATGTTAAGTGAAAACCGCCGCCCATGGACATCTGCTACACCCGAGGGTTACAGATGCGTCGACAACCTTTTTGAAAACCTCCGGCTACCTCATTCACCTAGTGAAACGCGAAAGTATTTTTCATGTTTCCACTTTACGCCGGTCTTCTGTGCGGTCGTGGTACTTACCCGGACGGGCCTGCCCATTCCTGCAACAGCCGAGGTTGCTGCGTGGCCCTACCACCGTCATATTCATCTGAATATACAATTTAAACGGTTTTTATCATAAATTTGCAATAGCTTACCCTTTACACACGAAATCTACGAATTTCGCAGTTCTTTATATATACGGGGAGGACTGTTCTACCAAGCTGCTCTATCGATTTTCAATCGAGTTTATTGACCTCGAATATGATTAGTTAGCCTAATGCGGTAAACCAGTTATAATTGTGTCTTGGTTAGTAATCTCCCTAACTGGTCTACTAAGCCACTTATTGATATCAAAATCAAAATCAAAATCAAAATATATTTATTCAAATAGACGCTTGCGCGCTCTTATGAATCGTCGAATTTTACATCAAAGATTATGTGTATAGGTTCGTAAGGTACCACCGGTTCGGAAAGCGGTTTCTGTTGAGAAGAGACCGGCAAGAAACTCAACAGTTGCTCTTTTTCAAAAATATCAGGGTACAATATAATATACAGGTATAATAGTCTTATTCTAGCCTACGTGAGTATCAACAGTATTAACTCCACACATTGGCGTCGTCGAGATATTCCGAAATGGTATAATATGCTTTAATCATCAGTTGATTTTTAATTTTACATTTAAATTGGTCAAGCGGCAGACTTAATATCGACTGTGGGATTTTATTATACATGCGTACACTTTGCCCCATGAACGACTTATTTACTTTTTGTAGACGAAACAATGGCGTAGTAAGTTTGTCCTTATTTCTAGTGTTTATTTTATGTCTGTCACTATTCTTTAGGTAATAATTAAGGTTATGACGTATATACAAAACATTACAATAAATGTATTGAGAAGCAACAGTGAGTATATTAACCTCTTTGAAAAGATCTCTGAGTGAATTCCGGGCTCCGATATTGTAGATTGCTCGGACAGCTCTTTTTTGAAGAATAAATATAGTATTTATATCTGATGCACTACCCCACAACAAAATGCCGTACGACAAGATGCTGTGAAAATAACTAAAGTAAACAAGTCTGGCAGTGTCGATGTCTGTTAGCTGCCTAACCCTTCTAATCGCAAAAACCGCGGAGCTCAGCCTATTCGCAAGAGATGATATATGGGGACTCCACTGGAGCTTTGAATCTACTGTAATTCCCAGAAATACAGCAGACTCAACTGGATTAATGGGTACGTTATTTAATATTAAACTAAAACTTTTCCTTCTTATACTGGGAAGGGTAAAAAGAATACATCTGGTTTTTTTTGGCATTTAATACCATATTATTAATAGTAAACCAGTGGAGGATATGTGAAAGCCCACTATTCACGTCGTCATAATTTAATACGTTTCGGTCAACTTTAAAAATAAGCGATGTTATCGTCAGCAAACAGTACAACATCACACAACCCACTGGCATAAAAGGGGAGATCATTAATATATACTAAAAAATAATAATGGGCCCAAGATTGATCCTTGTGGGACTCCCATTTTCATCTGGGACCCAGTGGTATTAACATCATTTATAGATACTTTTTGAATTCTATTACTAAGGTAAGAGGCAATGAGATTGAGGGCGATCCCACGAATGCCATAATATTATAGCTTTTGAAGAATAGTTTTATGGTCTACGCAGTCGAAGGCTTTTGAAAGGTCACAAAAGACACCTATTGCATCTTGTGACCTTTCCCAGGCGTTATAAATATGTTTGACAAGTGCGACGCCCGCATCTGTTGTCGATCTGCCTTTAGTGAATCCATATTGCCCATCGTGAAAGATTTTGTTCACATTAAAATGAACTAAAAGTTGATTTAATATTAGCTTTTCAAAAACTTTACTAAGAGATGGCAATATGGAAATAGGTCTATAGTTGCCTGGATCATTTTTATCACCACTTTTGTAGACAGGTATTATCTTACTAAATTTCATAAGATCTGGAAATATTCCAGAATCTATGCAGTTGTTAAAAATAGAAGCCAAATGTGGTGCAATATATGGCATTATTGTGCTCATTAATTTTATGGACATACCCCATAAATCCTCTGTATTTTTAAGATTAATCTTACTTATGATATCTACTTATGATATTGATATCTAGTATGACAAATACTTTCGCGTTTCGTCTGGTGAGTGAGGTAGCCGGAGCCCAATTTTCAAAAGATTGTCAACGCATCTGTAACCCTCGAGTGTAGCAGATGTCCATGGGCGGCGGTATTCACTTAACATCAGGTGAACCGTCTGCTCGTTTAACAACTTTTCGCATAAAAAAAAAAAAAAAAAAATCTTTATTTCTACGTTTCTATCTTTTCCCAAATTAAACGCAAAGTTATCTCAAAATTTGTATGCCGTATATTTATTCTTATGCAACTCTTTTTACGTGTATATATTTACATATTAAAAATATACTAGAAGTTGCCTATTGGTCGAAATCTGAACTTAATTCATTTTATTTTTTCTCGCACTCATTCATACAAATTGACATTTTGAAATTCATTGCCGACAATCTTTCATCTGTACAAGTGTTTGAAAACAGATTCTTACGTGTTTGACATTTCCAGTATTAACATAAACAGTATTAAACGCCTGTTAGTGTGTTAATGTTTTTTTAATTAATAAAATCCTTTTATTTGTAACGAATATTATGTCAAAATATTAACACTGCACTCCTTCCTAGTATTAACTTGAATGTGTCAAATTTCATAGGTCCATGAATACTTTATCCGTTCGCATCATTTTCGTAAAAAGTTTTTGTTCCACCTTTTGATATATTGATTGGACTATAAATACAGTTCTGCTTTTCAACGTAAACATTGTATACAATATTAATTTACCCAATTTATTTAACATTCCACTGGCCGAATTCGATACTTTATAATTATCAAACAATAAACCTTTCAGAAGCACTGCAAATTAAACTAACAAGCCCCACAACTCTATTTGGTCGGACTGAAGGGGTAACACACGTTTAAACAATTGAACATTTTTAAAACGACCCCTGTTTGCTCGCAAAATCCGAAATTTATTTTATATATACATTTATTTGATCAGCTGTCTATTTGCAATGCTTAACGCTTCAACTAGTATTTTCCTAAATATTGACATTTTGAAATAGTGATACCACTTTAAATAATATAAAGTAAAGTAAACCTATGTGTCTATCTAATAACGAGCAATGTTCGGAGCTCCAACGATTTTCTTGATGTAGTTGATTTTCTTGGTTTTCCTTGTTGATCGATTTTCTCGGTGTGCGGGGGTTTCGGGGGCGATAAATCGATCTACCTAGGTTTCATTATTAGAAAACGTCGTTTTATTCGGGAAATCGGGCGGTCTGCAAATCAGAAGACCACGGTTCGAGCCCAGATCATTTTTTCCTTTTTTCCCCTTTATTTTTCAAGTTCCTCGTCCAGGTCATCCAGTACTTTAATAGTAAATATCACATATGAATATCTTCGATCAGATGGCCCATAAGTTTTTGATGATTTATAATTGGATACACTAATAGAGTTCTCGAACTTGTGATACATTCATAGTTGTTAAAATTTAAAATAAGCCTTAAAACTTAGCTTACTATCCGCCCAACATGTGTAAACTAGCTTGTGTAAGGATTTTGTATTAAACGAAGCACAATACAGTCTCTGGGCTGAATTCATAACTTCCATTAATACGAAAGACAACTTAGTACTTTTGAAATAACGTAGGTGATGCAACGCTCAGCAGACAATTGAAATAGAATATTTTTCATTAACATTATATAATTGCATATTTCTGTGTCTTAGAGTTTGATGTCAGTTTCAGTTTTGAATACGCAGCATTTGATATTTAACAGTGGTAGGGCCTAACAGCAGCTTTAGCTGTTGCACGAATGGGCAGGCTCGTCGGGGTAAATACCACAACCTCACAGAAGACCGGCGTGAAGTGGAAGTATTATACTTTCGCGTTTCGTCTGGTGAGTGTGGTAGCTGGGACCCACATTTTAAAGGTTATCAACGCATTTACGACCATTCCTCGTATTGTCGATGTCCATTGGAGACTGTTATCACTTTCTATCAGATGGACCGTTTCTTTGCTTTTTTAGGTACCTAAGAAGATTGCAAGTGATACGGCGAAACAACTGATTGTGTAACAACATGGCTTACAAATGCATGCAGTGAATAGCTCATTGTCCGTTCGCTCGCTTTTAATTCAATATACTCGAGCAATCTGAGTTCGGTCCGCGGTGCCGGCACCAATGAAATTGTTAATTTTAAGTGTTGACTTATCACGTGCTCAGCGGTGAAGGAGAACACCGCGAGGAAACCTGCATGTTT